GAATCGGTACCTAAATTGGCCACAGATTCCAAATAATTCTTGACTAACGCGAAGAGATTACAACACTGATCCTCATTGAGCAACACTTCGCACTCTTTCAACACATTATAGCCATCCTTTCCTCTGTGCAGAAAATCTTTGGTCACGAGTCGGTACTTCTTCTCCAAGTCGAGGCATTGGCCGCCAATTCGCACACTTTGAACGTCCACTCGATTGCCGACCGATTTGTTTGGATGAAATGCGAACTGAATGCGCGACACCTGTGCGAAACTGCCGTCCAGTACAGCAAACTGAGAGACCGCACACTCGAGCGCCCGCAACAGTTGTCGGCCGGTTATGTTGAGCACAACGAGCGCGTCCATCATCGGCAGTATTCGCACCAAATCACGCACTTTAAAGGCACCGCTCGTATGGATTTGATCGCTTCGAAAGGTACCGGAGTTTAAGAGGACGGCGTCCACCCCAGTGGTGGCCAACACTATATCGCAAACAAAATTTCCTAAATTTGTTTCTCTCTGTCGGATAGACCCGAAACGGCCGTCAAGTGCTGAGCCCACGTCCGCCAATACGATATCCATTTTGGATTCGACGGCAAACGTAAACTTCTTGAGCTCTTCCTTCAGTTCCCGGTCCTCATTGAAGTCAAACGAATTGACAGATATTTCTTTGCACTTAATCTCGTATTTCTCGGACCCAATGAACTCGATATCAATTTTACTAAACTGTCGAAAATCTGTACCACTTTTGACACATAATATATTGTTGACTCGACGGCACTGGTAGTCGTGGTCGTGACCGCCCAGTATTAGGTCGATCTCCGAGACATTCTGCGCTAACAGACAGTCGTTAGGCCATCGCATGTGAGTTAATGCGATCACAAAATCTACGGTTTCCTGAATTGCAAACAACGACTCATTTGTTAAGAAACTCATTCATAATAAACAATTAGACGTCAATTGTCTCACCTCTTCCTTCAGATGTTTGGCCAGTATTTTGCCTTCAGATACAAAGTCTCGGTATATGTAGGGCTCGTCTATGGAGTCGCGTAACCACTGCTCCTCAACCAGACCTATGATTCCTATCTTTCATACAAAATAGCATTTAATAAAAAGTTGTGAAATGTTTTGTTGAATACTTTTTTGCCGTTTCTGTGTATAATATGGGAGACGAGTGCGCCGGCCATCGGACGGTTAGTTTCGGGATCCAACACATTGGACAGAACCCACGGGAAGTGCGTTTGGCTCACAAAAGTCTTCAGGTGAGGGACACCGAAGTCTGTGCCCACAAACACACAACAATTAACGCATTACTATCGCTATCAATACATTTATCTCAAGACTAATCAGTTTAGACATTGAATACCAACCGAACTCATGGTTCCCAAAGAGGGCACAATCGACGCCCAATGCGTTCAAAACGGGAATCATTTGCTCGCCTTTTGTGAAAGAACTCACTGTTTGTGGCAAACAATCAATGCATTAGACTATAAGACAATTCATGGCACATATGAAGGACTACTGACTGATGGACGGCGCCATTATGTCACCGCTGAAGAGCACCAAAGGGTCGCAGTGTTTGTGTGCGTTGAAGGCAGTGACGAGTCTGGGGGCGCCTCCCGAGGGCTCAACACTTCGCGACTCAACGTTATAGCTATCGTTGAAGTGAAGAATCGATACAATTGTCGACCCATTCGTTGAGTTATTATTGTCTTCACTGGCGATGGCGTCAAACGACGGCATTCTCGACACCAATCTCTTGGACTCTCTGTTGTGATTGACTTTTGAGGTGATAATCACTTTATGGATGAAGTGTTTTCGTGTCGACTGAAAGAGCATTGATTTCTTGAACGCCTTTCACTGCAAACACGACCCAAACGTTGTGTACATTTGTGAACAATTTATGACAAATTATATCAAATATATCAACAATTCTGTATTCAATGGACATATGATTTGCATTCATATATACCATTACATAAGCGTGAGTGTGGGGGTCAAGGAATATGTTTATACACAACAGGGGAACAGTAGCTGTATTATACAAATTAGCATAAAAGGCTTCATTCGGCGTAACGTTGTATTTGGCTATAAATAATACACAATTTTATTCTTAATGACAGTTTATTTATAACCAAAACTTGAGATAAGAAGTGTTTAATGATACGAAAAAGTGTATAAAAATATACAGTGTATAAGTTATACAGTATAACATTTAAACATAATTGTCACACAAGTGTATGTATTATCACAAGTATAGAGGAATAGATTGCATTAAACTTAACATTATATGAAATCCTAAATTTATCAAAGTACGGTCATTTAAAATAATTTATATCAAAGTACTGTATGTTATATCATGATTTAAATTTGATCCTAAATTTGTGAACAAATTCTTAGCAACTCTAATGGCTAAGGGTTTATAAACTTTCATCTAATTATCACTTATTTTGTTTAATTAAGTTTTACAAACTTTTTAGAACCGGTATTTGGTTTGAAAAAAATTATCGATTCATTCATTTTGTTGAGACATTAACTCATTGACGGCATGAGACAACTCATCGATGGCTTTATCGATATCGTCATTAGTGGTGTCCCTACCAGTGCTCAGACGTATTGTCCTTTGAGCCAATTCC